GCTTTAAGTTATGCAGAATTGGAAATTCGAGAAGTTCGCTTTGGATTCACGTGTTGTGACCATCTGTGGGCATACCTTGCATCGAGCTTTTCCGCAGGGATGGCACCCTGATTGAATTTTGGGGGTGTTTGTTTTTGCTCTGACAAGAATGTCCTCAGACTTTTATCCCTGTGGTACACCATGTGAGGTGGCTTCGCGAATTTAGAAGTTAGTCGTTTGCTTTGCCTGATTATGTTGAAATGGCGGGAAAGTATGTTGTTGATTCGTGGCGCTGATGAGGAGTAAGTTACTACAAGGTTCGTTTGGGAAGTCGTTTTAGATATTCTGTTTGGTCCCTAATTATATTCTTCCTGTTCACGTTGCGAGCACGTAGTATGGCATCGTCAATATTGTCTTCCGGATAAGTTTGTTTCAATAAGGAATGCTTTAGGTGTTCCGCGTTTCTGTCTAATTCCCGCATATCGGTGCATATTCTTCGGTACCGGTATGCCTAAGAATTTGGATACCCGTTTTGCAATGCTTTGGGTGGCTGCTGTTGAAATGTAGGTACATTTGACGGTCTGTAAGCTTTTTGTAAAGGTTCCTTGACAAGCGGTCATTTTTAACCGTGACAGTGACGTCCAAAAAGTTAATGCTAGTTTGGAAATTTTGTGCGTGAATTTAATTGACGGGTGGCACTTGCTAAAATCCTCTATGAAGCGGAAAAGACTTCCCCCATCATGGTTCCATATCATAAAAATATCGTCTATGTATCTTCTGTAGTAGAAAGGTTTCAAGGTGCGATCCTCAAAGAATGGGATTTCATGTGAAGCCATAAAGGTGCTCGCGAAGTTTGGGCCCATTTTCGTGCCCATTGCAGTGCCACTGACCTGAAGGAAATGCTTGCCATTGAACTCAAAGTGGTTATAATTTAGTACAAGTTCAAGAAGTGTAAACAGTACCTCGCCACTTACACTAGTTGATGACTCAGATTTTACATAATCAGAAACCAAAGCCGCTATTCCGTCATGGTGGGGTATGTTGGTGTACAGTGACCAGACGTCCATGGTCATCAGAAAACTGCCGCCTGGGATGTCGACACTTGAAATTTCGCAGATGCAGCGGTTTGTGTCCTTTAGGTAATAGGGAAAATTTAGGGGGATGTTTTTTTATTAAGGAATTGATGATTTTGATATATTTTCTTTTGATGTGCTGCTACTGGATACTATCGGACGTCCCGGATTGCCTGCCTTGTGTATTTTGGGGAGCAAATAGAATCGACCAGGAACAGAATGGGCCGGTAACATTGCTTTTAACATTTTGCCGGTAATTTTCGCGTCCCGGCGGAGATTGCTTAGGGTTACTTTTATCTCCCTTTCGAATTCGGGAGTCGGGTCCGTTGGAAGTTCTTTGTAGAATTTTGTGTCTGATAGTTGTCGTTCCCTTCCTTTAAGTATTCCGACGTGTTTAGAATTACTATGCAGCCCCCTTTATCAGCTGGTTTGATGGTAATTCCAGTGTTTTTTCGTAGTTCATTGAGTGCCCTTCGTTCTGACTTTGATATGTTGTTTCTAAATGGCCGATTTTTGTGATACGCTCTGATGATATCTTTTTTAACTGCTGATATTTACATATCGAGGTGTTTGTCCCTCTGCTCACCTGGACACCATGATTTGTCACCACCAATCAATCTATTCTCGTCCGTACAGTCCTTGCGATCATGAAAAAACTCACGGAGGCGGAGATTACGCGCAAAGTTATCGAGGTCTTGGTACAGTTCAAATTCATTGAATATACCGGATGACGGACAAAAGGTTAAGCTTCTCGACAAAAGTTGAAGCTGAGCGGGTGTGAGTGTTGTGTTTGACAGATTGAGGACATTTTTCTCATAAGTTTTTGGCTGCTCTCGGCTATCACGTGGCACGGGAGTGTCAGCGTCATATTCGAGAGTAAGATTGTGCCAGTAAGGATGTGCCAAGAGCAGCCGCAAACTCGCACGTCTTGCATGGCCTCAAGTCTTAACCGGAACGATTCTGTTGTAGATACCGGGCGCACAAAGGTCCCTGCAATCGCTGCACAGTCTCCATTTGCGAAAAGCGCGCGCCTTTCAGATACAGCGGAGTAATAACTCAGACGCTTATGCGCTTTCATCTGTACTTGTGAGTACGCTTCGTACGCCATTTGTGCTTGAGAAACGCGGAGCACGTTTCGATGTGCTTGCCATTCTGCGCGTGACCTTCTAACTCATTGCCATCGAGTTCATTCCTTGGTCTTTGCGGCAAAGCTATGACTTTTATTATGTTGTGACATTCACAGAGTTGTGGCAGTTCTTAGTCCGCGTTCGTCCTTTGTCCTATGTATGCTAGTTTTGTACGTGCTTTCTGCTTGAGCAGTGCGCTGCAAGTTTCGAGTTGGTTGCTGTACTTAACTTGACTTTGCGATTCGTGCTTGAAACAACGCACAATAAACGTCCAGCTACCTCTGTAAAGAAACGTTTAACTTCTGTTTTGTACCGATTCCTATATAAGGTGATCAGCCACATTTGTTTGTTTGTTTTTTACTGACTATGTGCTGTAATGTCTGCGCACTTGTATAGTGGAATTATGATTCACAAAAAATTATAATAGCAATATTTCTGTGCGAAGTTGTAAACTTTCATCCTGCCTTTATTATACCCATAAACGATTATGAGGAGAGGAGGCCTGTGAAATAGTGATTCTAAATTGTGGGGCTTTACGTGGCCGTACTATAATATTACTGAGGCAAACAGTGGCCTTCGGGAATTTCAATGGCCCAGGATAATAGCTTCTAGCAGTGTCGTTTCCAGCGAAGATGCGACCACCACAGCTGGTGCTTAAACCACGCTGGTAGAGTCAGCAGCCGAGCAACTGTGCTGACTACTGAAGTGGTTAATAAATAGCTAGGCCGTGGACCCTAGGTGTCTACAAACCCAATTTAGGGGTGCACGAGATCCATCCTCGAGGAAGAAAAAAGTTATTAGGGGAGCCTAAAGCTTCGCCTTTATGGGTTGAAAGCGACAGCCATATTCTGTCCCTAGTGCGTACATCAAGCATTTAGTGCATGAAACCTTCTAAAACTCGTGCTACACCCACTACACAGCCTTAAGGGAACATGCGCAGTAGCGTGTATGCCGTTTGTAGGCGTTTACTGGCTTTAAACACCAAATTCGTCTTGATAATCAAATGTTCTGACAGCAGATAGCAATGGGCGCTTATAACACAACATATTACTCCTATATTTCATGTTGTATTGTGAAGCTTGTATACAGGACGCCTGTGCTTGTAAAGCAGGTGTTGCTTTCACTGCATTTTTAAGCAGAGTAAGTTATTTTCACTTAATTGGCAGGCAGAGGCGTACCTATGTGGCAAATTATCCGCTTGATCCGCTTGCAACGCAAACGAGTCGGTTTCGAGCCCCACTCTGGCCAAGGATTTCATTGCTTTTTTTACATCATTCTTGATTTTTAGGTCACGCATAAGATGATGACTTTTCACTCACAGCCCACGATGCCTGCACCGACGCCGGAACCACTGCGAAACGAGCTCGTTAATTTTATCACTTTAAAATAGTTTTTTGGGGGGCACACTATGTCCCGTGCAAGATTCTCTTGAAATTTTTGGTATGCTTCACTACATGACCATGTATACTGTGACGGAGCTTACCTAAACTTTCCCTTTTTGATGAGATGTTTCTAACGCTTTTGTTGCCTTTTTCTACAAAGGGTGTGCACGTAAGCATACCTTTTCTAGTTGTATACTTTAACTGCAAACATACCCGAAAACAGTCTGATGTGGCAAGACACCACACAGCATAATAAAGGGGCTCTAAAAAGCAAAACGCTCTCTTGCGTACTAGTAAAGTATTATTTCATGAGCCCAAAAACACCACATTTACTACGGCAAGGCACTTGGCAAGCGAGAAAACGTGCGAAAATAAAATGTGGGTGAAGATGCCACCTTGAGATGTCCACAACGAACATTGTGACATCATAGAAATTTGAAGGCGTCTAAAGGAACCTACGTAGCTTCTAATAAAAAAATGAAATGAAACGTAATCTGTGCGTGCCGTAGACCTAGAAAACGATGTTTCAGAAAATTTCATCGAGCCAAAGCCACGGAAATACGAAAATTACACTGTGGAACGTATAACGTCATGCGCAGGCATTTAAAAATTAAACTTAAACCTTGATTTTCTCCGCCAAAGGTGAACCGTTGAGAATGAAACCTGTGGCATTACGGCCCTCAGACTGTAGTTTATCATTCTAAAACAACTCATTCAGTTTCCTTTTAAGCTGTCAAGATTTAATTGCACTGTATGTTTACAGACGAAGGTGCCTATCCCTCGCTGAACGTCGTGTTGTTCCCCCTATTCCATCATCACTTTCACCGGTGCGCAAAGGGTCCCCGAAACGTTCATGGCTAGGGGTGGCTTAACAAAATCTTATATATTTATCATAGGAATAGCCTACAACGCTCTCTGCGATGCTTGTCGTTGCGAAGAGACACTACACCACATCCTGTGCGACTGTCCGTTGTATGACATCCAGAGACAGTCATTGGGGTCCAATCTTGTGCGCATCGACAACAGCCAAATGTCTGTGGACATTTGTCTGTGGCCAAATGTCTATGGACAAATGTCTGTGGACGAGAGAAGACATTGCAACTGAAGGCGACAAAAGCACTGTTGAAATTCCTACGCGACACGGACTTGAACAAGCGGCCGTAACAGCAATGTCACACACCACGAATGACAAGACTGGACTTTGAGTGTGTGCGCGTGTGCTGCTTAGTGTGCTTGGTTTATCTCTCTTCCCTCTTTCCTATTCATCTTTCATCTCCCCCATCCCCCTCCTATGCGCAGGGTAGCAAACCAGCTGCCTATAGACTGGTTAACCTCCCTGTCGTTCTTTTCTTCCCATTTTCCTTCATGGCCGAGAACCACTGCACTAGTGTACTGATGCCACTGCAGCGTGACGGCAAAAATTGGCGTGTTTCCTGCCGGACAGTGCAGGCGTGGTGCGTGTGGAGGGAGCCCGGACAGCCTCCTACTGCACCCTCTTGGACAAACGTGGTGACTGCCTGTTCGGCGTGGGTGATATGGACGTACACCGTCACATCTCTCCGCAATTGGTACGTACGTATGCAACGTCACCTGCTCGGCGCCGATTTCACGGCACGTGGTATCCGCTCCTCGCGTTACTAGGCGACGACTGTAAACGAAGCACAGTAAGCTGTCCAAACAAAACAAGGGCAGCCCTAGTTTTAAAGGTGACCGTGAAATGACACCTGTTTCATCACTGTCCTCTTTCGAGCCAAGTGTGCTTCATAGAACGTCAGAAAATGAATGCTTTTGGCATCTGCTTACATATAAAATATTATATTTCCACATTCTCTCCTCGAGTTTGTTATCGCCCTATTTCACTGTCAGTAATTTTCAGCGCAAACCGCGCCTAGAGTGTTCAAGAACCTTCAGAACTGCAGTCAAATGAAATCAAATGAGTTTTATTAAGAAAAAAAGAGTAAATACAAACATAAAATATGCAGTAGATCATTTTTTAAGACTATGCCCACTTCGTGAGCATTACAGATTATTTGGAACCTACGTCAACGCTAGCGATAATGCTATACTATTCGATGTCAAGTGTATAAATTCCAACGCATTTCACCACCTGTCAGCCGACGCTTTGCTCTCCGCGCTCAGTGTTAGTGGGTATCGCTGTAATCTGACCTCCAGTTTACGGGCCACAAGTTCGGCCAAATAAACAGTTTATGTTGTAATTACAAATCTACTTCCTTCGTCCACGTCACGACTCCGTGACATCTGGTGGAGGTGCAGGTTCGTTCATGTACCGGACGCCGCCGTCAAGCCGTAAACCCAGCCCACGTCGCGGAGAAGACACCGACGCCAACCAGGAGCAGCGAACAAGCCGCCGGAAGTAATGTCTACCACCGGATTACGGGCCTCTACAAGACGAGGCACGGAAGACCAATGCCATGACCTCGACTGCTCCAACAATGATAACCGCTGCATCACAGCCCGCGATCATCATGCGGAAGGCAAGAGAGCCACCAATTTTCCGTGGGTCATCGTTGGAAGACTCGGAGACCTGGCTAGAGACATACGACCACGTGACCGCCCTCAAGTACTGGAACACGGAAGGAAAGCTTCGTCCTGTGTATTTCCACCTTGAAGACACCGCAAGGACACGGCTCAAAAATCGGGAGTCAGTGCTCCAAACATGGGATGTCTTCGGCGGCGCATTCCTGCAAACGTTCGCGAGCGTCAATCGCAAAGAGAAGGCCGCTTCGCTTGAGACTCGGGTGCAGCTACCAAATGAAAATGTAACCATTTTCACAGAAGTATAACCCGCCTGTTCCGTCACACTGACCCGGACATAACCAAGGAAAAGAAAGCTCGTTTCCTCATGCGAGGGGTCAAACAGGAGCTCTTCGTAGGAATGAGAAAAAACCCACCGAAGACCATTCCCGAATTTCTCTACAAAGTGACTACAGTTGAGAAGACGCTGGAGATGTGCACTCGTCCGTTCAATCGCCTCTCATATCAGAGTACGCAGAAGTTAAAACAACCTGCTCCAACGGCTCCGCAATACTGTCCGAGCAATCTTGAGGGAGGAGCTGTGCAAGCTGTTACCATCGGTGCAGCCTCAAGTGGATTCAATCGCCGACATTTCTGCGAAAGATTCCTGCTATCGTTTCTAGATTCCGAAGCGCCGCTGCGTCAGCCGGAAGCTATGAGTTACGCCGCTGCAGTGCGCCGCAACGCCCCTCCACGCCCACAAGAGCACGCTGCCCCACTGCTATTCCGCCGACAGCCAACGCCGCCGACAGCCATACCAACCACTCGCCGGCAAGCTCAGTTTTTCGAGGAAAACCGTCATTTCATTTCATTTCATTTCATTTCATTTATTCAACCTTAAGGGCCCGAACGCATTACATAAGGGGGGTTCGTACATCCAGGTTGTAAGTTCCAAAGCAATGTAACAATATGAGGGTACACACTGATTGCAATGAATGAGCAAATAAAGAACACAAGCGGAACTAACACGCACAACAAAACTTAAAAATAGAATAGGCGATAAATAAATTCTGGGAGTACAGTAAAACAACTATAAACGGAAGAGTTAATGTACTGTTAAGACATCGTATTTGGATTTTGGAAAAGAGTTAGTTTTTCGCGAAATGTTGAGCGGTCCCTGCAAGAAACAATGTTATCTGGCAGTGCATTCCAGAGTGTTACGGCATGGGGGGAAAATGAGCTGCTCATCGCCGTCTTCCGGCATTTTATGGTCATCAGAGGGTGCGTATGGGACAGGCGAGAGGGCATTCTTAATGGGCACTTTAGGAAAGGGTGTCCCGACCTGCTAAAGTAAAAGAATGTGTGAAGGAGGCAGATATGAGAGGTTATGCGACGTGAAGCAAGCGATGCGAGTGAGAACGTTTGTTTTATTGCGGTTACGCTGATATGCCTTGAATATTGTGACGTAATAAAAAGAGCTGCGCGATTTTGAACGGCTTCCAAATTATCGGTGAGATAAGCTTGTGAAGGATGCCAGATGGATGACGCATACTCGAGTTTTGTTCGCACGTATGTCAGGTATGCGAGTTTCTTTATGTCAGGATATGCAGATCGCAGGTTACGTCGTAATTAGCCTTATGTGTGGGAAGCTTCAGAACGAATGGTTTCAATGTGTTTCACCCATGATAGTGATGATGTCAGATGAACTCCTAGATACTTGTAAGTACATGTGGCGTGCTCCCGACCACTGGCCTCTCTGATACCAATGTGGAGAAGCTGGCCACATCTACCACCACTGCCTGTACCGCCAAGTGGGACTGCGTGGTTTCGCCTTCAACGCGCCGCGTCCACAGCGGGGTGAAAGACCACGCGGCACCGCTGACTACTTCACTGCAAAACAGTGAACACCCCGAGCGTCTTCGCGTTCACCTCCACCTGGCCCTTACATTTTGCCTCACCGCCGGCCACGTACTGCCCCGACCCGGGGCCGGTCGCCTAGCCCGTGCTCGGAAAACTAAGGACAGCAACCAATTGACGTGTGCTTGCGGTACGACGAACAACCGAAGATCCTCCGCTGACAATGAGGACCACATGGTGCCACTTAAAGAACCCGCCGCAACCTCAACGTAGTCTCGACGTCGAAAATTCGCGGCCAGAAGACCTAATGACGCAATGCCAAAACAGTGGTACAGACTGTAGCCGTGATCCGACGCCGCGACCCAACCCTAACACCAGGTGACGAACCAGCGACTTCGACTCGATATTCACATAGACGGCCACAGCATCACAGCTCTCGACGACACTGGAGCCTACTATTCCGTCATCGTTGGGACTTTCGCCGCGAGGTTGAAGAAAGTTAGGACCGCTTGAGCAGGCCCTGAAATTCATACAGTCGGAGGTCACCTAGTAACACCAGCAGAAATCTGCGCACCAACAACGAACATTAACAGCCGCGCTTATCGTGCAAGCTTCTTCGTACTACAGCAGTGCTAGAGAGATGTCATTCTTAATATAGACTTCTTGAGCCTTCATGGTGTGGTCATCGACCTGAGAAGAACGTCGATAACACTATCCCCAGAAAAGGTGCTACCGCCACGCACGCCATCAGGAAACAGCGCCCTGAGTGTGCTGAAAGAAGTCACCATTTCTCCTCGCTTCTGCGTCAGCATTTCCGTCGGCACTCAAGAATCAACAGACATGCAAGGTACCGTTGAAAGCGACCAACACCTGTTGGTTAACCGCGAATTTTCTATCGCCAGAGGAATAGCTGAGCTGAGGGGAAAGAACGCAAAAGTGATGCTCACGAATTTCACTAGCGAGTACAAGCACGTAAACAAAGTAAAACTTCTTTTGGGCCTAGTTGGTTCATAGCCATAGAATATACTTTTACAGCGCAAACATAAAACGATCCACAAAGAAAGCGACGACACACACCAGCGCTGACTAACAACTGACTTTATTTCGGGATATGTCAATGCATAAATACCTCCTGGGCAACCTCACCGCACATGCGCCACACATCTCGACAGATAACAGACACTCAGAGGAACAATCAGAGTTGACAAAAGAAATGAAACCGTGTATTACATACGTGATGAAATGAACTGAAACTCAGATGGGAGCAGCGTCAGAGACGTGTCGCTTATACAAAGCTGAGCCCTTTTTCTGATATGATAGGCTTCCAAAGCCAGCAGCGCATGTTCATTGTTACTCCTGCCAAGGATCGACGTCCCTTCAAAACGTGGCTCACAATTGCAGCAAGAATTAATATGAGCCACAAGATGGGCTCCTTTATCTTCGTTCTTGTTAACTTTTTGAGCGTGTTCCCTGAGCCGCTCGTTGATACATCTTCCAGTTTTTCCGACGTAGAACTTGCCACACGAGAGCGGGATGGCATAAACCACGCCGACGGCACACGGGACATAAGTCACACCGTGTCGGATTTTGCAACCTCCTCTGTTCATACCGCAAGTGCGGGAGCACAGCTTGGAAAGCTTGTTCGGGGCAGACAGCGCCATAGCGACCCCATGTCTGCCTGCCACTGCCTGGTATGAACAGAGGAGGTTGCAAAATCCGACACGGTGTGACTTATGTCCCGTGTGCCGTCGGCGTGGTTTATGCCATCCCGCTCTCGTGTGGCAAGTTCTACGTCGGAAAAACTGGAAGATGTATCAACGAGCGGCTCAGGGAACACGCTCAAAAAGTTAACAAGAACGAAGATAAAGGAGCCCATCTTGTGGCTCATATTAATTCTTGCTGCAATTGTGAGCCACGTTTTGAAGGGACGTCGATCCTTGGCAGGAGTAACAATGAACATGCGCTGCTGGCTTTGGAAGCCTATCATATCAGAAAAAGGGCTCAGCTTTGTATAAGCGACACGTCTCTGACGCTGCTCCCATCTGAGTTTCAGTTCATTTCATCACGTATGTAATACACGGTTTCATTTCTTTTGTCAACTCTGATTGTTCCTCTGAGTGTCTGTTATCTGTCGAGATGTGTGGCGCATGTGCGGTGAGGTTGCCCAGGAGGTATTTATGCATTGACATATCCCGAAATAAAGTCAGTTGTTAGTCAGCGCTGGTGTGTGTCGTCG